GGAATGATTTTGGAAGTATTACTTCCCTTTTAATTTCATGAAAGAGTTTCAGCATTAATGGCATTATATCTTCTCTAAATTTCTTACAGAATTCAACAGTGAATCCATCAGGTACAGAATTTTCTTTGTTGGTAAGTTTTTAATTACATTTTTAATTTCATTGACTGATATCAGCTTATTTAGAATTTTTATATCTTTTTGATTCAGTTTGGGTAATTCATACATGTCTAGGAATCTGGCCATTTCTTTGTTTTCCATCTTATTAGAGTATAGATATTGATCTTCTGGATTTCCACAGGATCTGTTGTGATTTCACTCTTATTATTCCTAATTGCAAGAATTTGAGTCTTTTCTTTTCTTTACTTTGATAAGGTTGGCTGAAGTTTTATTAATGTTATTTAATCTTTCAAAGAACCAACTCCTTGATTCATTGATTCCTTGTATTATTTTCTTAGTATCAATTGTATTAATTTCTGCCCTTATCTATAGTTTCTTCTCTCATACAAGTTTTGGAATGATTTGTTCTTCTTTTTCTAGAAGTTTGAGGTTCAACATTAAGTTGTTTATTTGAACTCATTCTGTTTTTCTTATGTGAGATTGATTACTATAAATTTTCCTCGTGGGACCGCTTTCATCACATTTCAGCTTCTGGTATGTTGTATCAGCATTACTGTTTAATTGCAGATACTGTTTAATTTCTTCTTTACTTTCCTCTGTGATACATTGGTTTTTCTGGAGGGTGTTGTTTAATTTCCAAGTGTTTACGTAGTTTTTATCATTTATTTTGCTGTTGATTTCCATTTTCATTGCACATGGTCAGATAATGTGCACAGGATAATTTCAATTCCTCTGCATTTACTTAAGCATATTCTAAGGGCTAGTATGTAGTTTATTTTGGAGAATGTCTCATGGGCAACTGAGAAAAATGTGTATTCTTATGTTATTGGATGGAACACTCTGTAGATATCTACTAAGTCCATTTGTTCACAGGTTTGGTTTAGTTCTGATATTTCTTTGTGGATTTTTTGTCTAATTGATCTATCTAATTGTGACAGTGGGGCATTAAGGTCCCCCATTAGAATTATGTTAGCACTTATTTGAGTTTTCATGTCCATTAATATTTGTTTCATGTAGTTGGGTGCACTGGCATTTGGTGCACATATATTCATGATTGTTATCTCTTCTTCTTGATGTTTTCCCTTAACAAGTAATGTAGTGACTTTCTTCATCTCCTTTGATCAGTCTTGACTTGAAGTTCACATTGTCTGCAAGCAGAATAGTTACCTCTGCTTTTTTCTGGGTTCCTATGGAAGGGCGTATTGTTTTTCAATCCTTTGACTTTCAGTCCATGAATTTCTTTTTGAGCTAAATGTGTCCTTGTTAGTAGTATATTGTTGGATCATGCTTCTCGACCCATTCTGCCAGTCTGTTTCTTTTGATTGATGAATTGAGACCATGTACATTGATGGTAATAATTGATATGTATTGGCTTATCTATCTCATATTATTTTCCTGCTGTTGGTTCCCTGTCTTTCCCCTCTGTTTAATTGTTTTCCCTCCTTGACGGCTTCTTTCTGCTGGTGTTCTTGCACTTTTGATCTTTGCTTTTGCTTTCTAATATATCCTTCAGGGCATTCTGAGAGCTGGTTTGGTGGTCAAGAGTTTCTTCAGTTGTTCTTTGTCATGAAAGTATCTTATTTCTCCACTCAGTCTGAAAGATAGTTTTGCAGGGTACGTTATCCTGGGTTGGAGGTTGTTTTCTTTTAGGGCTTGAAATGCCTCACTCCAAGCTCTCCTTGATTTGAGGGCTTTTGTTGAGAAGTCTCTGGTGGGTTTTCCTTTACAAGTGATTTGTTTCTTTTTTCTACTGCTTTTAATATTCTGATCTTGTGCCAAATTTCTGTAATCTTGGTTATTATATCCTTTAGCATAGATTTATTTTGGTCATGGATATTTGGAGCTCTATCTGCTTCACTTATTTGTATGTCAAACTCTTTATCGAAGTTTGGGAAGTTTTCTAGCATTACTTCTGTGAAGAGGTTTTTTAATGGCATTTGTGCTATCTCCAGCTTTCCTCATTGACTCCAATAAATTTTATGTTGTTCTTTGCTTTATCTTGCAGCTGTTGAATTGATTTTTCATGGTCTTTTACTATTTTTAAGATAACTTTCTTTATATGGTTGTTAGCCTTAGTCCTGTCTTCCAGATCTGATATTCTATATTCACCTTCATTCAGTCTGTCTCATATACCTTCAGCGAAGTTTTTAATCTCCTGGATTTCTGTTTGGATCTGTTTCATGAATTCCATTTCTTTCCTATGTTAGGGGTTTATGGTACCAATCATTTTCCTACATTTCTCTACTTTTAAAATATGTGTCTGCTCTAATTTCTTTCATTTTGATTGTCATTTTTTTTACCTGAGAGATTATTTTTCTATGTCTCATCCATTTGTTTTTTCACTTCTGATGCTATCATTTCAGAAAGTGCCAGTTGATGGGTTCCAATTTCCTCTATCTCATTGTGTTCTAGACTTGGCCTGGGTGGGCTGGAGATCTGGGGTTGAATTTTGCTTCTGTGTCTTGTGGTTTTCTATTTTCTATTTTATTTTTTCTGTGTTTATGCTTGTAGACTTCTTATAGTAGTTAGCTTTATCCCTAGTTGAGGCTTCCCTAGGAAACGTCTGTTCCTCAGGAATATCTTCCAGATGTAGGTGGTTCTTGGTCTTTTTGTCTATCCCAGGAACCTACCTTCCCAGTTTATTAAGGATGAGAAGTTGCTGTGTGTTTGGCTTAGCATCCAATCCTTTGGTATTAGACTATAGTGATGGTTAGGAGCCCAGAAAATCACAGCATTTTTATACAAGGGAGAAAAACTGATTGTAACAGGTATGACATCCTTGTTAAAATAATATAGTGAGCAATAAAAGTAGCATCAAGCACAGCCTAGCTACTGCAAGCTTTGGTAACTATTAACCTGATGCCTTTAGCCACAGGAGTAGATTCTACAGGTATATAACAAAATCAAACTTATGCCAGGAAATTTTATGCAATAATTTTCTTCTTACTAGAGTGATTTTACCCTGTTGCAGGTGGGGGGTGGGTTCAGAGGGACAGGGGACAAGATAGATGAATGAGGTCAAATATAGTAGAGGCAAGGATAGAGAGCAAAGGATTCTCACCCAAGTTTTGGGAAACAGGGGAGCATAGGAGTAAAATAATGAAAGAGAAAGCAGAGGAGTATTGAAATGAACCAGAGAGATAAGAGACAATGTTCACTCACATGAAAATGTCATAAAATCAAGAGAGATAGTTGAGAAAAGAGAGAAAGAAGATGAAAAGAAGAAAACAAAAAAAAGGTAAGAAACCTAAATAGTGAAAAAAGAAAGAAAAAAATTACAATCAGACAGAAGAAAGAAAACCAATCAAACAAACAAAGAGAAAGAAAAGTAGTAAAATTCCTCTGGTATCCACATGCGTGGTAGTGTCCAAGTCAGATCCCAGAAATGTTCTATGTACTCTGGCCAAGATTGCAGTGGGATTTGTGCTGGGTATGGGCTGACCTTGGCCTCTAGATGTGGGGGCTGGGTCTGGTCTTCTGTTGGTGGAGTTCTCCCAAGCCCTTTGATATAGAATGATGGCCCCGCCCACCCACTTCTATTCTGGGTGCCTGTGTGCTGGAGCACAGCCCCCGAACACCTAATTCACCAGTCCCTGGCTCATATTCTCACTGGTGCTTTAGACTTTTCCACACCATGGTCCCACCTGCCCAGCCTGCACCTGCCCTGGAGCTTGCTCCCTGCTGGTCCTGCCTGCATAGTCAAGTTTTTTAAAAAACAGAAGTCTAATCTCTTCTTATTCTGGAGGTCAAAAGTTTAAAATTTATTTTCTAAGGTGCTAAAATCGAGGTGTGAGGAGGGCTGTCTCCCAAAGACTCTAGGCCGACACACTTCCTATGTCCCCAGGTGTCCAGCTCTGTGTCCTGGGCTCCAGCCCTCTCTTTGTTCCCATGGCTCCCACTCACCCATGCTTCATCCTCTGCCTCCCCCTTGTATCTCTGTCCTTCCTGCCTTACATTTTGTCAGGATTCTCTTGCGGTATTGAGCCCTATCTTTCTGTGTGGATGCTCCATTCTCTGTAACTCTGCTCTGTCCTTTTCACAGACCTTCCAGAGTCCACTGCCATGGATGCACTCACCTCCGCCTTCCTAAAGAATTTGACTCAAAAGAATTTTCAGCAACTGGCTGCTGACTTCCTGCCTCAATATTCTGCTTTAATTAGTAAGGCTGGAGGCATCATCTCTCCAGAAACACTTGATGGAATCCAAGCAGCCCTCAGGGAGGGGAATCTGCAGGCTGTGGTGGACACCATTCAAGAAGTACTGAGTGCAGCAGAAAATGCTGCCCTGGAGGTGGCTGTGATCGGGGAGTCCGGGACTGGCAAGTCCAGCTTCATCAATGCCCTGAGAGGGCTTGGTCATGAGGAGGAGGGGGCGGCTGAAGTCGGGGTCGTGGAGACCACCATGAAGAAAACCCCCTATCAACACCCAAAATATCCCAACGTGACCTTCTGGGACCTGCCTGGAACTGGGACGCCCAAATTCACCCCAGACACCTACTTAGAAACAGTGGGATTTGCTAGCTTCGACTTCTTCATCATCATTTCGTGCTCCCGCTTCACCCTCAATGACGCTGTCCTGGCCCAGAAAATCAAGGAAACAGGGAAGAAATTCTACTTTGTTAGAAGCAAGGTGGACAATGATTTATATAATGAACAGAAAACCAAGCCCCAGTCCTTCAAGAGGAAGAGAGTTCTTCAGCAGATCCGAGACTACTGCCTGGCTAACCTCAGGGGCGTTGGAGTGCCTGATCCACGCATCTTCTTGGTCTCCAACTTTGACCTCTGTGACTTTGACTTCCCACATCTGGAGAGGACTCTGCTGGAGGAGCTTCCTGCTCACAAGCGCCAGGTCTTCACACTCATATTGCCCACACTGTCGGATGCTTCCATTGAGCTGAAGAGAGGTTTCCTCAGGGAGAAGATCTGGCTGGACACCCTGAAGGCATCAACTTTGGCCTTCATCCCCTTTGCACCCATCCTCAAAGGCTTCGATTTGCCTGAACAGGAAGAGTGCTTGAGGCTTTACCGAAACTATTTCGGTTTGGATGATAAGTCCATTGAAGAGATTGCCAAGAAGCTGGGCACATCTGTGCAGGATATCAAGGGCTTCACCAGGTGCTTGGATTTCTGGTCCCTAGTGAAGGACGACAGCATAGCAGCAAAGGCCATGCACTGTGCTGAAAGCTTCTTTTCAGTGAACGGAGGTGCTCTATCTGTTGCCTTCCAGTTTATGAAAATCTACTTTCTACGTTTGAATTTCCTCGATATAGTGTCCGGAGATGCAAAACTCCTCTTGCATAAGACTATAACAGCTCACAACTCAGAGAGTGAGATAAAAGAGTCGTGCCTGGCCTAACAGACTTGGAATTGGACCTCAGGTCTCGTGTGGTCAGGGATGGTGGTTTTCCTGCCCGTCCCGGGTCAGTGCCCCTAAGGCAGAAGAAATGTCTGTCCCGTGGAGGAAAGCCATAGCTCCCATGGTACCTCACTGCTGTGCACAAGTGACTTGGCCATAACCTGTTGTCTCCAGTTATTGATCTATTTTGATTGAATCCTGACACTAACATAGTATCTATCAGCTTTCACATGTCAAGGGATAGCCTGCTAATTTCCATTATTTCTTCTGCTAATAAACATTGTATAATAATCACAATTAGTGTTATATGGTCACTTTATTATTTTTATTTCATTTTGTTATTTTTACTGTTTTTCTCTTTATCACTATCTCCATACCTTCTTCAGCAAAGTAAGAGAAGATCCTCGAATATGGGCAATGGTTAAATCATAGTAAAAGAATGTGTGTTGGGAAAGTGCGGCAGGACCTGGAGGGAGGAGGCTGAGGCAGTATCAGAGAAATGGTCTTGGTTATCATTTGTCTGGGCCCCTTCCCAGCTTCATCTCTGGGCATTTCTCTACACCAGATGGGCTGAGAGTCCAGTGCATGAGGCAAAATGAGGGTCAGGAGATGGGAGCAAGTGAAGGTGACTTGGGAGGGAGTCTGGGAAGCAAAGGTGAATTGAACCAGAATCAGAAGGGAAGCCAGGCATGTGTTTGCTCTTACTTGAGTCTTTCCCTCAAACTTCCGAAATGGGATAATCAAATTGAGCTGCATCAATGCCTGGGGACTCTTATTCCTGTGTCACAGTCACCGTACATGTGACTTTTTCCACCTCCCCTCCTTGGTCTATGGTGGACACAGCTCAGTAACAGCTATAAAGGCAGGAGGGTATATGTCAGATGTCCCTTGCTCTGCAAGCTGTCCTCGGGGTGTAGGGGCCTTGACACAGGGGAGAGAGCCCAGACCATGGCATGGGCACCCGATTCCTCTCTGATCCACCACATGCGAGAGGATCCCATAATGAAATGAGTCAGCTTTCACCAGGGCTTGACATAGTCACTCTGAGTGTCCTCACAGGTTTAACAGATGTACACAACGTTAATAGGGAGAGATCTCTTCACAGTACCTTAGCACCACCATTTTTGTTAAAAATAATGCTTTGCAGATATTAATGTGCATTTCCTTACAGAATTTATTTTATTTTTTAGTTTACAAATATACGATGCATTTCACAGAACTTAAGCTACTCGTTTTATCATATTAAAAAATCAGAGGGAAGTAACTTCTTGCATTTTATAGAGATAAGTTTTATTCCTCCGGTTCTATTAAAGATAGCATAAATACAATCTGTATGTCTTCATGGTGAGTTTGTGAAATGGTTTAGTTTTCTGATCCTTTAAGTTCCTCATCTTCTCCAGTTATTTTTTTCTTTTTTAATCACTGGCCACAGGACTGGGGTGAGGTTAGTCCTCAGACCAGGAGTCCTCAACCTTTTTGGCAGTTGGGAATGGTATTGTGGAAGACAGTTTTTTCATGGATAGGGTGGGAGAGATGGCTTCAGGATTAGATTCACATAAGAAGCACACAACCCAGACTTCCTGTGTGCACAGTCATGGTTTGAGCTCAGAGAAAATCTGATGCTGCTGCTAACTGACAGGTAATGGAGCAGAGGCAGTGATGTGAGCACTGGGGAGGGGCTGGAAATGCAGGTTAAACTTCCCTCACTGGCATGCTGCTCATTTCCTGCAGTGAAGCCCAGTTCCTGAGTGGCTCTGGACCAGTATTCCTCCTTGGCAAAAGGCTGGACCTCCTGTCTTTGGTATGATTGGCTTCTTTACTTACACTCTCAGTCCACTCCCATTACTCCTAATGTTACCAGCTAGTGTAGAGTCCTTGCTTCCGTGATAACGGAAATTAAAACTTGCAACCAGCACAAATTTGTAGGAAAATATTTCAATTGGAAAGTAAGAGAAATTGGCAAGGGAATTTAGCTTCAGGATTTCATAAGTATCAAGCCTGACCCTAAACAAAAGAAAGTAAGAGAAAATAGGAAAGGATTTCAGCTTGGGGAACTGAAGGCAACACAGACCTCACAAAGATCAAACTGGTCCATTAACGAAAATTGGGAACCAATATCAGGTGCTGTGGTGGGCAGGGGTTTGACGGGTCATTATTTCAATCTTGGTTTTGTACCTGCAGACATAGCCTATTTCTTGAGGGATCATGATATGATTTTCATGCTTGGGGAGCAGAGGGCACAGTTCTCATCAAGTAACTGCTCTGCCCAGGGGACAGTGGCCTCATCATGGTGTGGTCCATGAGGCTCCACTGCTCCTGGAACACAAGGTGACTGCACATTTAGGACAGTGACTGGAATTTTGTAGGCGCTGGGCCTGGAACTGGACATTGTGACTGGGTGTCACAACAATCCCAGGAAATTATTTTAGTCTTATCTTGGTGTCCTCAGTATCAAAGGAGGATGAGATAGGCTTGGTAAATTCAGGGCTAACACACCGTGTGTTAGAGACACTCCTTGTGTATTAGCGTGCCTGCATGCAGGGCTGAGCAAGGATCTACGCCAAAGTTTTAAGGTAATAATGTAGAGGAAATAAGGATAGCAGAGATACTAAGCTTCAGTTACTCGCTGGGTATCTTTAGGCCCAAGTTCTAGGACCCTGTTAGGATGACACTCAAAGTATAAGATTCAAGCCCTTGAGGTGGTAGGTCTCAGGGACAGCTTTTTGGTATGGACATTACGAGGGATCCAAATGGGAAGCGGGTAGATGGGAGTTAGGAGCCTGAAGTTAACAAGCCACTATTTAAAAACAAGCCGAGATGGAAAGGAGCTATGCCGTCCATAGGAGGATTTACCTAGCACTGATACCAAGCATTTGACTTAGTTCTTGGAATTTGATCACAGAAAGTCAATTATAGTGTTATTTTTTCAATTTTTGGTATTTCCCCCTCATTTTTTATTAGTGTATATTGGTTGTACATGTTAACAGGCTTCGTTTGGGCTGATTTGCGTATGTACACAGCATACTTTAGTGATTCGTCCTCGCTGTCCTTGTCCACTTCCCCCTCATTCCACATTTGGGTTGGGCTTCAGTGTGTAAATGTCTTTTGATCTTATTCATCCCCTCTATTTCCTGGCAGTTCTAATTTTAAGTCAGTAAAAGCTTTTGGCATGGGGATGCTTTAAAAGGAGAAAAGAATACAGTGCCATGTTAAAGATCTTCCAACTGAGTACTTACCCCACTAAAATTCTTCTGAATGCTGAGATAACTGATTAACATGGGCAACGAGCAGATCTCAGCAAAACCAGTTAATAGTTAATGGCTCCTTTAGTTTTCTGATAGTCACAAAGTCAATCTTTAAAAAAGAAACTGAGCCAGCAATAAACACAAATGCAATCATGCAGCAGAGATGACAGTTAAAATTGGGTCCCCAGCGTGTGGACCTGGTGTGTTGGATCACAGCATGTTAAATGATGTACAATCCACGGGGGGGAGGGGGGGGAGTTCCCTCCCTAACTCTCTGCTCCTACTTCCTGAAGGAGCTCTCAGTGTCTTAGACGTTAAATTTCTGTTCCAGTCTCCTAACATCCTCACCCTTCTTTGGGTAACACTGGCCTCGTAGACTGTGGTTACACTTGCTCATCTCCACTTTCTCCTGGGTTTATAGAATTTCAAGGTTGCCTGCCAGGTATAGCAAGTGTTACTAAACATTCTTTTTAGAAAGTGCTGTGAGTCTTTTTTTAAATCTATGATTTAAAATCCACAAAATATATAAGTAGCAATGCAGAGTACACATTGGACTGTTCTGGCATGTCTGAAGTGTGAGTCAGTGAGTTAAGCAAGAGTGAAGCCTATGAGCAGACAATACTGTCTTCTCTGTTCATATGTACAGTACCCAAATTTCTCTGCCAGCATGGGCCTCAGGAACCAGGCTGCACCACTACTATTGGGCAGGGTTTTTGCGTATATTTTACTTAAACAGAGAAACAACCCTAACCTACTTCAATGAAATTTCAGAAAAAAAAAAAAAAAAAAAAAAACATTTAAGGCCCATCACCTCCATATTTGAAGGTATTTGGGGATCAGCAAAACATGCCAGAAATACTTATGATTCCCCCCAAACAAGTACAATCAATACCAAATCATTGGTGTTAGTTAGATCTTGATTACATATCATTAAGTTTTGCTTCATTAGTTGTGACAATAAGAGCTGTTGTGAAGAATATTGAATGTTAATCCCCAAGCCAATGACAACAAGTCAGAGGAAAATTTTAAAAACCAGCTAGCCATTGCTTTTTAAGAATTTGCAGAAAGATGAATCCCCTGGGACTTTCTGGTCAGACCCTCATCCATGATCTAGGAAATGCATTCTGCTAGCTGTTTGGTTTTGAGATGTTAACTCACTTGCGACGTTTTAGTGACATTTTAGATCATGTGTTTGACTATGATGAACAGCATTAACAAAATTTAAAAAGCAGAAAATCACATTTATTTAAAAACCTGATTTTGTGGGCTTAGGTAAAATCAATCCACGAGAATATAACAATTATTCCCATCTCTTAACCACACACCTCCAAAAAAACCTTACAACACTAAAACTGACCCAAATTGTGTAATGTAAAATGAATAGGTTTTCAGTATCCACAACTGAGGAGTTCATTGAGTTTGCTATTAGAGCTTCACAAAACTTCATTGACCAAAAACATCTGGAAATAAAGGATACAGAGTCAGAGAAAATACTGATTCTCAGTGGTGCAAAGTGAGGATGCCAAAGGTTATCTTTGTTATTTTTTGTTGCTGAGATAAAATACCTAACACCCAAAGGAGGAAAGGTTTATTTGGATCACAGTTTGTAGAGGTTTCAGTCCATAATCTGCTAGCTCCAAGACAGGGTGGCGTGGCAGAGGGGCATCACAGAGGAGGAAGAGTTCATGGCAGGCAGAAGGCAGCAAAGCAACAAAGTAGTATACAAGCAGCAATCAACAAGTGATCAGCAGCAACCCTCATTTTGTCCCTTATGTCCTATCCCTAAGGGTGGTAAGCCTCCCTCACACGCAGGGTGGGACATCCTTAATCCTACCCAGAATGATACCAAACCAGTCAGTAGACTAATGGAGTAATCACACACACTTGATCCCAGCATCTCACACTAGATCCGGCCACCTTTGAAAAGCACCCCCACCATGACTGTTTGAGACTTTGGGGAACATCAAGACAAAAACCACAACATAGACTACCAAAAAAGTGTTTTTGTCTGCTGTCATTTTTTAGTGCACTGCAACTCTTTAAATCCAAGTGTAAGCAGGACTGGCACAGGTCCATGTCATGTGAAATGCCCATGTCAGATGTGTCCAAAATTCCCATGTGCAGTGACACCCCAGGAACACCATATCCTTGAGGAGACTTTTCCAGATGTGGTGACTTCCTGTGATTTTTTTTCTTCTGTGCTGCTGATGTCACTACCTGTTGTCCCATCCTTTTTCTTAGCCTGATAATCTGATGGACCACATGGATTAGGTTTCAGATTACATGCTTACATTCAGGCAGATGTGCACTCCTGGAGTGACTTTCACGTGGTACTGGTCAGTCACCCTTTGCCTGTATTACTGCGATTACCTTGCTAGCATTTACGTGGGTGGGGATCTAGGGGCTTCTGTTGATAAGGTTTATTTGTGGATAGATTTCTCCTCTTGTAATTGTCTTTTCATTTCTTTGTCAGGGTTTTGTAGTAAGCTGTGTTGGCCTCACTAACCGAGCTGCACAGCATCTTCCCCTTCTGGCAGTGTTTGTGTAGAATTAATATTGTTTTTCCTTGCTTGGTATAATTCAAAGAGTTTTTTTTTTTCTTTTTGGGGGAAGAGTTTTGATTAAAAAGTCAATCACTTCAAGAAATAGAAGGTTTCTTCCCTACTTGCTTCATTCTGAGTGACTTGATAGTTTGTATATTTTACAGAATTAGCCCATTTCATCTAAGTTCTGGAATTTACTGGCAAAGAACTGTTAGTATTCCCTTATTATATGCTTAATGTTCATACAACAGATATAGATATCCTCACCTTTGTTTTTTCTATTGGTAATTTACATCTTCTCTATTTTTGGTCTCTCAGACTTGAAGTGTATTAATTTTACTGACCTTTTTAAAGGTCAATAAATGACTGTGTCATTGCTTTTTTGTATTATTTTTCTTTTAACTTAATCGTCTTTATTCCCTTCTATCTATTTGCTTACACCTTGAGTTGTTGTCCTCCTTCTAGCCTCTTCCAGGTTTCTGAGTTCTTAAAAATCTTTTTTCCTCAGAATTGGTGTTTGATGATATAAATGTCTCCCTAAACACTACTTTTGCTACATCATATATTTTGATATGTTACACATTCATTTTTGGTTTCAAATATATTTTAATTTCCTTTGAGTCTTCCCATCTTATTAATTTCTAAATAATATAACTATTTAGAATTGTTTTAATTTTCAAATATGTAGGTATAATCTCTTTCTGTTATCTATTCTTTCTGCAGGTAAATATTACTGTGTGCAAGAATATACTCCATGATTTTTAATTTTAAAATGTGATAAAGTTTTTAATACTTGTATATATACAGTTCTTACTAAATGTACCATCTCACTTGAGAAGAATATGTATTCTGCTATTGTTAGATGCAATGTTCCATGAATCAATTGGTGTCAAGGTATTTGAGAATATTTTTTAGAGTATTCCCAGTGTCTTGATTACTTTTCTCTCATTGCTGAGACAAAATATCTGACACCTAAATACCTGACTCCAGTCTATGGAGGTTTCAGTCCATACTTGGCTGGCTCCAAGGCAGGGTGGCACATGGCAGAGAGCAACAGTTCATGGTGGGCAGAACGGCAAAGCAACAAGAACAAAAGGGAGGGGTGACAGAGAAGAGTAAGCCTCTTTCCCTCCCTTACATAGTAGGCAAGCTGCCCCCACCCAAGGGGCATGTAGCACTCACGTCATCTCCATGCCCTCCTCTTGCACAGGCTCAGGATGAATACAAAGTAAGCACCCTGGCTCCCTGCTGAGTCACGTAGTTACCTTCTAAACTTCTCAAACTGACACAAGGAACAACATCCCAGAAGGGTAAGGGCATGTCCTTTTCACTACAAAACGCAGAACTGCTGAGTCACTTAGCCAAACCTCTGGACTCCCCAAGTTGACACAATGTATCAACCATAACACCCAATTGTCTTACTTACTTTCTTGTTGCTGGGACACAATATATGAAACCCAGGATTTGAAGAAAAAAAGGTTCATTTTGGTTCACAATTTGCAGAGGTTTCAGACCATAGTTGCCTGGCTCTAACACAAGGAAGCATAGCAGAGGGACATCACATTGGAGAAATAGCTCATGGCTTGGCAGGCAGGACATAGAAAGACAGCGGGATCAAAGAAGGAGGAGGAAGGTAAACCCTTCCAGGCCATGGTCCCCTGTGACTACCTCATGCAACCAAGCTTCACCTTTCAACACCACATTTAGCTATGGACTAATCCATGATGAACACTTCCCATGATCCAATAATGTCCCCAAATTCCCACCTATGCATGCACAATGTTTTGGGGGTACATTTGATGTAAACCACAACACCAACCTTAGGACTTTTATACCTAGTAGCAGCTAAAGAGCAAGTATTCATGTCCTTGTGGTTTTGAATTTCAGGAGTCTAGCAACGATGTCACTGGGTGCCTCTGTCTCAGGGTCTCTGGGGAGACTGTCATTGTGGTGAGACCCATGACCTACTCAGAAATACTCACCTGGGACTCCCGGCCTCGGGGTTTCCCGGAAGGAGGGCTTCTGGC